GTTGCTATTCCAGACTGACATCCTATGAAATTGCAGGTGCTGACGTGATTCATTCACAACTTCTAAAGTGCCAAAAACTTTACTGTAAACATTGTACTGCAGGAAGTATTTTTGCCAACTTCTATTTGGCAAAAGGGGTAATAAACCCCTTTTGCTGTATAAAATACATCTCTGTTAGAAAAAAATACTGCTTTTACAGCTATGCTGATGAACAGATTCTAATGTTGAGTAAGCACAAGCTAGTGATCGTATCCTGATCTGCTAGACCTTCTCACACCAGTTGAAATCTGCATTCCTGGCTGACGCCGGCAAAGACTGTTTGTTTTGTCCTTTGCAGCCCAAGGTGACGGGATCAGTTTTAGATGAAACATTGGCATTTCCTTTCCATCTCCAAGCCGTCGTTCCCCTCTCTGCCTCGGCTGCTGAGGTGTTTCCTTGACCCCAGATGCACTGCAGCCTTGTACTTTGCAATGGGCATTTCTCAGCAAGGGACTAACTGAAAGTCTTTATGGCACCTCTGTAAAACATGTGCAGAGTTAGAGTCACTGTCCATCAGTTTAACCTCTTGAACACTTGACAGGGGGGAAATCTCCTTGTTTTGGGCAATATCTACTCACTCACCATGGAGGCTTTTGCTCGCTTATGTGGCTGGTAAGGTCTGAAACATAAGGTGCACTTAAAAAAAGAAGAAATACTCCCAAAATGCCACTAAAACCAGTAGTTTGCATGTTTCCCCAGAGAAGAGAGGAGACAGTCTTGATGTGTTTGATATCAAGAGGCTCCGTGACTTGGGGCTCCACTGAGCCCTGCCGTGAAATGACACTGGTGACAGGATTACTAGAGCACTAAGTAATATCCATATCACTAGGTTCATTTGAAATTGGTTTTCAAGGATCTCATACGAATTTCTTGCAGTGCAACAGGCAAGACCCAAGTCCTCTAGCAAGCTCTGTGCATGCAGATGTTTGCCAATAGGGAAGAGTACCTTGTTCAGCCTTGTTTTTAAGGAACAGCTGAGGCCTTAGTGGTCACAAGCAACAGACTAGAAGGCCCGAAGGATGTTTTTGTTATTAAGAGTTTTAATTGCCCAGTCTCCTTCTGTTTGCTCACGATACATTCATTTCTTCAGACTTATTTAGTGCTATTCGTAGCAAATAAAGCAAGGATGAGCACCTGCTTAACATCTGGGATAAAAGTCGAAGCTTTGTATTCTAAACAGAGCTTTCAAGTGAAAAGCAAAACACAGTAATAACAAGGCGAGGTTTTAAGTCAGGATCCAGTTTACGGTAATTGAGAGAACAGGTAACAAGAATATTACAATAATGCACTATTATCTAAATCTAATAACAATCTAGGAAATGCCACTCTTTAGAATGTGCATCCTGTAATTTAATCTGATTTTATTTCTTGTAAGGCACAAAAAAAGAATAACAAATTATGCACAAGCTTTTCCTTTCAAGCACTCTGCTCACTTTCTAAGGGCCTTTCCCTTTTTCCCCAAAGATTGGTTGCTCAGGGCTAGAACCGGCATGTGTGTTTAGATGAAGGGCCTTGTGACTGAAAATCAGCCTCCTGATTATCTGTGTAATTGGTGCTTCAGCCAGTAATTGAATGTCTGTGGAATAAAGTTGCCTTGGAGAAACTCCGTATCTCTCAGGCAGATCTTTTTCTCTGTGGATTAGAAACAAAACGGGCATTTTTACAGTTAGTGCACACTTTTAATTGGCACCGGAGTTACCAAAGTAAATATTGTATAGATTAAAACACTCATTTAAAGAAATGGCAAAATCATTAAACGCAAAATAATGAGAGGAATTTTTCCAGTGGGAAAACAATGACCTGGAGGGAGCTCTTACTTCCTGCTACCTACATCCTGCTCCGTTTCTCTTTGGTCTTTTCTCTCTTTGGACATATAGGACACGGATGCCCAGCCCCAGCGGGGTCCCCTCGGTGCCGTGTGCGAGTGCTCTGGTCCCCGCTCGCCAGCCCGCGCTGAGCAGGGACCGGGGACAAGGTTGCTGCCCCGGTGCCTCGGCACGGCAGCGGCTGCAGCTCCGCGGGGTTTCCCAGCTTCCAGAAACAGGATCGATGTAGGCAGTTCATTCCCATGCCCCAGCAAACAAAATGAACGCGAAGCCCCAGTGAACAAAACCTGACTTGATGCTTGTGTGTTCGGGCAAGGATTCTGTGATTATTAATGCTTTCTTTTAAACCTAAAAGCAGTATCCTCCATTATGTAAGAACTACTCATGCACAGATAATTAAAAGCTTGAAAAAAAAATGATATTTAAGTGTGTACTTTTAGGCTAGTGTAAATATTTTTGTATCAGATAAAATTTTTGTCCTCATCTTACTAAAAAAATCTAAAAAACATTGTCTCTGAGGATGCTTAATGGGAAAGCATGGAGTTTGATCAAGAAACTCTAGTCAACAGATTAAGCTTAAAGTTCCTATTAGAAGGCAAATTTCTTCTTCTGTACTTGCTTTTTTTTTTCTCTGTATAGGCCAGTTGTGCGAATGCAGGTTAAATTTCAGGGCAATATTTTAAAGTGAGATCCCTGGTTTGAGAATCTCCGCTCTTAGGACATCGGAGATTTTACTTTGCAAGTGGCAGTGTATCACTGTCTCCTGCTGACCATATGTAACTTGGATATCTAAACGTCATTGCATTTATTCTTGGAGTAATTTTGATATTTTTGCTATAAGCCTTATTCTGCTTCAGTTTTTCTCTTCTGAGAACTATTTGCCTCTCAAGGATAACAAGAAACTTCTTATATGTCTGATGCAGGCTTTTGTACAAGCTAAGAGGTTCACTGGAAGGAACAGTAGAAAGAATGTTACAGAAGGATATTATCCTGGCTGAGTTTTGCTGTATCTTGAAAAAAAATCAACATAGCAAAATATTTGCATCCTACTAATATACTTCTGTTCCACTAAAATATATGCTCTTTAAAGCAAGCAAGAAAACAAATATTCCCACCATACATATATATAAATTACAAGGCTCTGATCATTTGTAACTTGCTTTCAAGTCTTGTCTGGTGAATTAGTACCACTATAGAAATGTAGAAATGTGAAGTGCAAAGTGTATTTATGTAACAAATTGCAAGCAGCTAAAATACAGGCTTGCATAAAGTGCAGCTCATACTTGAATTTGGCAAGGACACAGTGACTAATATGCTTGCAGTCCTGAGAAACGGCACGTCAATTTTAGTGTCTAGTGGTCAGGACCCTATTTTTCATGCTATCAGAGAGGAAGAGCACAAGGATGCTGATCATATCAGTTAAGCTTTTGGCTTAAAACCACTCTCCAGGCAAAATGCCATAGCTATGAAATCACTGTTATTTTAGACTTCACATTAAATCAATAGGATAGTGCAAGCTGTTTGAAGCTCGGCTTTGATGTATTTAAATGTTTTAAAATAATGCCTAGCATTTAATACAGATGTTTGCTAACATTCACTTAGGATCCTAAGTGCCTGACAAAAATAGCCTTCTTTCTTACTGCTTTAGGGGTATTTGTCTAATTAAATTCCTATGCTTAAACCATCAGCATTCACCACAAGATTCATTTGTTCAGATAATGTTATCTACCTTAAATGCTGAATTATGTCTAAATTTCCAATTGAGAACTAAAGCCTACACTAGCTCTATGACAAATGCAATTGTGATTTACTGCTGTATAGCATAATTGCCTAGAAATGAATGGGAGCAGCAGGAATAGCACTCAGGTCTTTATACTCCAAAAGACTTGTCTATTAAGTCAGTGTCAAAGTTGTCATTGACTTCAGTGACAATAATATCTGGTCACAAGCACCTAGGTCTTTACTGCGTAAAATAATCTCATTTTGAGACACGCAGGCCTAGAAGTTGCAGACATCAATCACTGCTTTGTGTTTGAAGCTGAACACTATTTTGTTTTCACAAGCAGTGGCTCTTTTGAGGGCAAAACGGAAGGTTTCAGAGAGCACATTTGTCATCAACACATTTTGGCATCCAAGTTTAACCAACTAGTGGTTTAGCACAGTAACAGGTGGGTGAAGGAGCCTCCCAAGATGAAGCAAAGCAAAGCAGAGGTGCCCCATTTCCCCAGCACATGCAGCTTGATTTGGGATACCAACACACCACACACTTGCTTCTAAAGTTTGTTTAAACCACTCACCACCAGTAAAGGACTACATGAAAGCACAGACTATTTCCAAAATCTTTATTCTGGCACTAAAACATGCTGTGCGTGGTTTGCATTTTTTTTTTTAATATTGCAAGAAAACAAGGGTAAAAATAAAGCACTGGACTGCTAAGTGTCTTTTACGTTTCATTAGATCAGGGAATGGAGCTGCAGTCCAAGAGCCCCTGTGGTGACAAGCCCGGGAGGGATGTACCCCGATGGGGGCTCTCGTGAGGTGGGGGTTATTCCACATGGACAAACTCATGGAACCACGGAATGGTTGAGGCTGGAAGGGACCTCCGAGGCTCCTATAGTCCAGCCGCCCCACTCATGCAGAGCATGTTGCACAGGACAACCTCTGCAAGCACCTGTTCCAGCATTGTCACCTAATAAATCAGAGCAAAACCCGCACCAGGCCCTGTGACAGAGCGCCTGGGTTCAAGCTCTTGTGGCCTGCACGGTTCTCACATCCAGGAGAGGCGCCTGAGGTGGAGAGGGAACCGGGACCAGCTCTCCTCACAACAAGGCCTGAGGGCGGCAGGGCCCGGGCTGCCTGATGCACTCGTGTCACTGGTAGCAACCGGGGGAAGGAGCTACAGGTCCCTCCACCCGCTTGTCCCCCATTGCCCTCCTCACACCCATCACCTCCCCTCGCCCCCACCCCGCGGCGCCGCCATGGCCGCCTCCCCCTTCTCCCCCACGCCGCCCTTCCCGCGCGCCGCCACGTCACTTCCGGGGGCCGCGCCGCAGCGCCGCGAGCCGCGGCGGGCGCCGGGCCTGAGGCGGCGGCGGCGGGAGAGCGCGGCACCGCATCGCCCGGCGGACCCGCGGCGGGGCCGCGACCCGCGCCCCGGGCATGTTGCGCTGGGTCCGCCAGCAGCTGGTAGGTCTCCCCGCGACGGGCCCTTCCTCCCCCCGCTCCTCCTCCTCCTCCTCCTCCCCGCGCTGTCGCCACGGGCTCCCCGGGGACGGCGGGCGCGGCCCTGGCCGGGGGCTCCGTGTGCCTTTCCAGCAGCTCCCGGCGTTTTTTCCTGCTGCCGTTTATTCCGTGCCGTGGCTTATCCTCCCTCCGTTATTTGTTTGCGTTCCCGCCTGGAAGCCGCGCTGGCGCGGCGGGGAGCGCGGCCCCTTACCTGTGGCTCCCCTGGGAAAGGCTCCGCGCGCCTCTTTTTCCCAAGGGAATGACGGTGCCTGCCCCGTTTTGTCCCGCCGTGGGCTGCGGCGCTCCTGGGGCTTTGGCCTCCCTTGCGAAACGCTCCGGTCTCGTGCACGGAGCGCGGCTCCGGCTCCATCGCTGCACCCTCGGAGGAGGCGCCGGGCGGGAAGGGCGCTGGGAAGGCGGCAGCAGCATCCTCCGTGCGCGGCTTTCCAGGGGGAAACGCGCCGCAAAACGCTGCCTTTTTGCAAGGCTGCGCCTGCCCAAGGGGCTCCCTGCGCTGCGCGGGGGGAATAGTTACAGTGAGGGCTCTAAGATCTACAGGAATATGTAGGGTTTGGCCGCTTTGATGGAGACCTTGGCCAGCTCCCCATCCCTGCCAGGGATATTTTTCTTGCAAGCTCACAAGAGAAATTACTTCCAAACACTCTGCTGATGGACTTGTCTTTTTTCCATTTGTTGGCGTTTTCTGAAATTACAGTTTACCTCATGTAGCTTTCCATATTCTGGTTTGTACATCTTCTTTCTTGTTAGTGATTTACCTTGTTACATCCCCTTTTACAAAAAGGTTTTTGTTGCTT